TTTTAATTAGAAAAGATGTTTGAGGAGTCCGAGCAGTGCATGTTCCCTAAGTCAAGAATCCACTTTGTGGTCGAGCCCAATAGCAGTCAGTTTTAAGTTAGACAGCAGTGACAACTGTCGTGTGTTGAAAGAGGTGTAAGTGAAAGCTGACTGCGCTGGTAACGAGCATCCCATGAGCAATAAGCTCCTTCAAGACTGTCTCAAGTGCTGACGAAGGAAATCAGTCACCAGACAAGTGATGTACAGCACCTACAACACAGTCCCAAAACTCAGCAGCAATGAGCAATCCCAAACGCTCAAGAAGTGAACGCTACACACAGCTCTGCCCATTAGCAGGGCTGTTTTGTATTTGGAGATCTAATGAGTGTTCGTCCCTCAAGGCAGTGAGTGAGGCAGGCGTTCACTACCTCTCGATGCCCCAAGCCCTGCCGCAGCACTGAGACGCAGCTCTCCATCCCACAGCCGCACTGCCACCAGCAACCGCTCCTCCAAAGCTCTCACTATTTCTTCAGCAGCATAACTCCAGGAACTCCACCCTGCGTGAGGATGCAGCAGGATGGAATGGCTCCAGCTACAAGACCCAGGAAACTGGGCCCTTATTTTCTCTTTTCTACACTCAGTAACTCAACCACTCTGCTCCTGCAACTGAGGCTTCCTGTGTCCTTCAGCACATCCCTCCTACTGCTCCAACCTCATTTTGCCTAAGGGACAAATTCTTCTCTGCCACGCTCAGGCCTCCACTAGAGGTTATTTCCACAGTCTCCTCTAATTTCATCACCCCTCTGGCAGGTCCTGCTCCCGCACCAGGGCAGCGTGTGCCTCTGATAATGTCTTGATGCTTAGCAAAGTTTTTATGTAGAGCTTTTGGGGAAGGCTGGCTGCATCTCTGCTGAAGGTGATGATGTCTGGGTTAATCCTCTCCCTGTTTAAGAGGTGAGGACAAGCCACACGCTTTGTCAATAAACTCAGTTGCATCAGAGCTGTTCCTTGCTCCATCAGCAAACTTAAGTTTTGCTTTACAGCTCTGGTCAAAAGGAATGGTCATGATGCAGATGGAAAAAATAAGCACTCTCAGCAAGTGGTTTCAAGGAGTATGGGTGGAACTGCCTCTGCTGCCCTAGAAATGCTCACAGAGCAGTGGCCACAGGAGAGCTCACCACTGCAGCCGTGCAGACAGCCAGCTCAGCACTGCGAGCACAGGCAGGTTTTCACAAGGCACTCAGACTGCTGACAGGAGATGTCAGTGCTCCCCTCCCATGCAGCCCTTTCCTTTCTCTGGCCTCATCCCAGGCAGTGCCTTTGCAGGTGAGCAGTGGTTTGGGTCAACGCAGAGTGTCTGAATAATGTCACCTTGCAAAACACCTCAGGGGGCACTCCTGCCCTGCACAGGGCAGGCACGAGTATGATCCATGCAGCCCAGCAGCAAAGTGCAGTGACACACCAGGGTGTGGGAGCCTGCAGCTTGGGGAGATGAAAGGTGAGCCCGTGCAGCAAAGCCTACCTTGGTTTCCAGCAGCTGCATGAGCAATTGTAACAGTATAACTGCTGGGCTCTAGACACAAAGTGTCCACAAACCCCGAACACCTTTCTGTCAGGCATTCTGCAATACAAGTAGCTTTTGCCTGGCCTCCCAGCAGAAATGCCCATGTAGCACAGCATCTTCCAGAAGCTGTATTCTCATGTATGCACAGTTGTGCCATTTTTTAACCCCTCCAATTTGCATTAGACGAGGCCAATGCAATAGGTGGACTTCATCAGCTGCCCCCTTGTAGGAGTGGCCATTAGCACAACAGCAGCACAGTGGGTCCCGCTGACAGGTAATACAGACAGCATTGATTGACATTTTTAGGAAGAGGTTGCATTTCTGTGGAATAACACTCATGATTTCATAGTGCAGCCACTGGATGTTGTCCCTGCTCTTTCTACATGCCACAACCTCTGTATTACTGTGCCGTGGGGAAACAAGGCAGAGGGCTGTGAGGGGTACTCCCAAAAGACCAACAGGTCCAACACCAGCTGCAGATGTTGGGACACATGCAACCACAAGAACTGGAACACTGGGATAATGACAACCGACTTTCTGTAAAGAGAAAAAACAAAGCACAGTGCACTGCTTAAAACTGCAAAGCCTCTGTGATGCTTTAAATAACCAAGGAAGCCTGGGCTCCAGTTATCACTCCAGTGATTTATAAAAACCATCAATAAAAGTTCAGCAGAGAGCACTGGAGTGATGTTCCTCATTTGCCCATTTGACAGCCACCTGGGAGCTTTCATTTGTTTCATTTTATTTGTATTTAACCTCGGGCAAATTATTTCCAAGAAAACAAAGCATTTGCCACTTCATGGGGCTGCCAAGGCAGATCAATTTGAGGCACTCCTTTGACAACCGGTGGGATTATAGAGAGAATGCTCCATTAGCTGACACATTTTATATACTAAAACAAATGCAAAAGTATTAAGAACCGTAGCAAATGAGGGAAAACCAAAGGCCATGCTTTTCTGGTTACTTCCCAGATGTCCCTAACTACCGGAGTGCAGCTTCGTGCTGTGCTCCATCTGTTCTGACTGCAGGCTACTGCTAGATGATGTGATCCCATGCTCACCCTTCCCGTGCATCTGATGTAGCAGTCACGCAGCCAAGAGTTGAATTTGAGATTACTGATTTCCACTGGGAGGGAAACTAGAAGAGGAAACAAAATCTATCAGTCTTTCAGTGGCTCAGCAGGTGGTAACGACCACACAACTGCACAACCTGTACTTTCTGTGCAAGAGAAGTGGTGAAACAGCAGCTAGTGGGAGCAGCCTTATGTTGTGGATTAGGCACAGCTCAGACTCTGAGTCAAATATGCCTGTTACCAGATGAAGACTGGCTCTTCCAAAACTAAGGCTCACTTAGCTACTGCGTATTCAAACTGCACCGACACTCCAGTGCTGTTTCCGGATTCACACTACAACAAAACAACCCATAATGTGTCACTTCTTCTGCGTGATTCCTGACTCTACGCGACATAAGGACATGCCTTTCTCCTTAGGGAGCTCAGGGAGAGCCTTGAGCTCCTGCAGCCCCAAGGCTCCATACACTGTTGCTGCAGTACCCGAGCGCTTGGTTAATCACAGGGCTGCATGCACAGGGCTGCATGAGAGATTCTACCACTGCCTTCCCCAGCTGGTTCTGAACAGGGATGGGTTTTGTATGCTGCTTGTTTCCAGTTCTGCTTCCCCCTTCTCCAATACTCACAATACTGCTTAGATCTTACTGAAACCTAGGCAAGACAAATCACAGCTTGCTTTTGTTCTGCTGCTCTGACTGCATCCACCTCACAGTAATATTCCTCCTTACACAAGGGCAGTAAGCACAAACAGTGTTACTACTTCAACAGTTCTGTAAACAAAAACCCCCAAACAAGCTTGTAAAACTCAATTAGTAGCTCCAAAAACATAACCTCATGCCACTGTCATGTCACATGAGATTGAAGACAACAAAGACGCAAAGGTCTAGAGGGCAAGGTATGTGGCTCAGGGCCCTGGGTTTGTTCAGCCCAGAGAAGAGGAGGCTGAGCAGAGGCTGCTTACAGAGGAAGATTCCTGTCCTAGAACAGACTATTTGGTACCTTGTTAGGCCTATGACATTCTGTGACTAGCATCCAGCCCATCAGGTGGGTATAGTTTGTAAGATCTGGAAGGATCACTCTGAAAGAGTTGTGTTAGACCAGCGGGTGTTTTCATTGCAGCAGATTAGTTTTCCAAGCAGCCACAAACCATCCCAGACAAATGTTATTCAACATGTTGATCAGCTTTCAAAAGTAATGTAAATTAATTATGTTTTTTAAACAGAAATTAGGACAGAAAAAAAAAAAAGTGATACTGTGCTCAGGCCAGAATTGGTAAAAAAAAAAAGTCAGCTGCTCCTGGTAATGTGATGTACACTCATCTCAGAAAGTGACTGTGACAGCATGACAAAGGCTTCTGTATTTGCTATGTTTCAGCCATGCCAAGTCCCTTGAAGCAGCCAGAAAAATACTTTCTGGCAGCTCCAGATGTTTTTATGCCTGGGAATTTCAAAGAATGTGGAACTGTGTTCAGAAAATTCAGAAAAGCACACTAAAGTAACAGTATTTTAGCTGTCAACAGGAAGAATGTGTGCAGCTGGTAAGAGCAATACTCACAGCAATAGCCGACACAGGTAACAGCTTTAAAGAGGGATACATAGTTGGGATTTCTTTTGGACAAGAGAAATATCTCTGGTGGAAAAAATTCCAGCTGCTGTGACTACCAGATACCAGCAAATTGCCCAACAAACTAAACTCTGAGTTTAGCTTGGTCTGCTACTGCAGGGACGTGCTTGCATGACTGGAAGTAACACCACCACTTACAGAACGCATGTGGCAGCAGTGGAGGGGACAATACAGCAACCCCCCAGGCAAATCTTCCAAGCAATGGAAGAAACAGTAGATATCTCATTGGTGACATTTGAAAATATACTGTGCAATTACTTCACATTCAAGATAGTAACAATCTAGGGCTATAGGTATTAGGGTGCCTAGTTCCTAGGGTTCTTAGGGTTCCTAAGAGGAAAATGCGTGCCTAGTTCTCAATGTGATGCGTAAGCAGGAAAACTGCAATTGAAGGAGAAGCCTGTCTATCAGCCAGGTGACAGCACGATGTAGGAACACCTGTTTGATACGCCTTAGTGCTGCAGAAGGGATAGATGTTCTGGAGGTACTTTAACGCAGTAAGGCGGGAGTTACTCGTCACACAAAAAGGAGTTCTGTTGAAGATATGTCCAAGCACTGCACTGCAAACTCCGCCCTGAAACAGGCAGTGTCAGCAGACTGCCTACAGATGCCTGCTTTCTGGGCAGCATTATGGACTTTCCTTCTGTTACAGTTTAATTGCACTTCTCTACAGACCACTGCATCTGAACACACACAACAAACACAAGAATCAAGTGAAACATCTGAAGTATCACATCATGTAATACATGACCGCAGTCCCCTGTGAAGCAATATTAGAACAACCAAAACCCAATCTACTTTGCTACTAATTTTAATCACAAAATTAAACCACACAATTGTTAGTTCAAGCAAGTTAATACACATCAAGTTTTCTCCAGAAAAAAAAAGGGATTTTCCTTTTGTGGGTCCTTCCTCACAGTATTTCTTTCTTGCTTTTTGAGCTCCCCATGGTTCACTGATAAGATCCATGAATGTGAAATAGTCTTCAGCTTGATTTCAAATGTCTGACTTGAAAAAATCAGGATATCCTCTGCAAATACATCCAGAAGTGTTCATGAACTCATTACCTCAGTCATATTCTGAATTAGCAGAAGACACAAACACTTGCCCAACAACAGCAATAAAAAGACAGCTAAAATAAGAGCTTTACTTTATCTGATTAATCAAACAGATTCTAACTCCATGTACGTTAAGATATCTACTCCTCTTCATCTCTTGCTGGATTTGTTGCAGCTATTACTCCATATACTTCTTGCACCTCTTATCAAGATAATCTTTAGTGACCCCAAGTGTAACAGAAAATCAGGAAGTACAGCACATTATACTGAATGAGGAATATCTACAGTAGAGCAGTGACAAAAAAGTCTATGTAAATCACATTTTTCTTAAAGCCATTATTCCCTTGTTCAAAGATTACTTATGCTTATTGTAGACCAATTCCATTTCACATACTGCTCTAAGGTGGCTTTGGATTTCAAACGACTTAGTATTTGCCTGGTCTCGTTTCAGCTAGGATGGAGTTAATTTTCTCCCCAGTAGCTGGTACAGAGCTCTATTTTGAATTTAGGAGAAGAAAGAATTTGATAACACAGCGGTGTTGTAGTTGTTGCTGAGCAGTGCTCACACGAAGTCAAGATCATTTTGCTCCTCTTTGCTGCCTGGCCAGCGAGGAGCTGGATGTGCACATGGAGCTGGGAGAGGCCAGAACCAGGACAGCTGGCCCAAGGCAGCCAAAAGGACATCCTGCAGCACGTGGCTCATGCCCAGCAGTGACACTGGGGGAGCTGGCTGGCGGTGAGCAATTGTGACGGGCATCAGTCCTTCTCCTTTCTCCCCTCCTCTATATTAAACTGCCTTCATCTCAGGGGTTCTCACGTGGACTCCCCCCCTTCCAACTCTCTCCCTCACCCCGCTGAGGTTAACAGGAGAGAACAGCTGTGTGGTGCTTGGCTGCCTGCCAGGGTAAGCCACAACGTGCCCAAGCGACAGCGCAATTACTTCTGCCACTTAACGTAGCTGTCTGCAGTTCTTTATTGCCTAAATTTACTGACGCAAGCTTAAAACATTCAGTTGATTGCCACAAAGCAAAATATACCTACAGATAATTGCACTGTTTTTCTTCAATTTGTTTCCTTCCTCCTCCCCTTCCATTTTTCTTAAAAACTTCCCAGGATTCATAATAAAAAAAAAATATATTTGTTCTTTGCAGTAGAACCAGCCAGATACTGTGCCAAAGATAAGATATTTAGTCATGTCAGCAGGAGCTGGAGAACAAGCAGCTGTATGAATTTTCTAAACGCACTGAAGTCTTCCTAGCTCCTCAAAATTAATTCCTCTTTGGAGAAGGCTCCGGGGGGACCTCATTGTGGCCTTTCAATATTTAAAGGGAGCATAGAAACAGGAGGGGGAACGGCTGTTTATGAGGGTGGACAGTGACAGGAGGAAGGGGAATGGTTTTAAACTGAGACAGGGGAGGTTTGGGTTAGATATCAGGAGGAAGTTTTTCACTCAGAGGGTGGTGACACACTGGAACAGGTTGCCCAAGGAGGTTGTGGATGCCTGGAAACATTCAAGGCCAGGCTGGATGTGGCTCTGGGCAGCCTGGTCTGGTGGTTGGTGACCCTGCACATAGCAGGGGGTTGAAACTAGATGATTATTGTGGTCCTTTTCAACCCAGGCCATCCTATGATTATGATTAAAATTCAATTACATAACCAAATTTGGGACATCTGATCATACCTGTTCTCTTTGTTGCAGTAATCACTGAAATCACTTCCAAATCCTGCAGCATCTCCTGCCTTAGTCTCCATTTTCTTAGATATAGAAGAGTCCACTTTATGGTTATACTTTGACAGAATCTACAACATTAAAAAAGGAACAGAAATAACTTTAGAACTCCAAGCAGGATTACAATCTATGCATTTTAAGTAAGCAGCAGAGAACTCTTTCTTTTTGAGGAACAACACTTGATAAACAAACACTTTTTAATATTACTGCTACGATATGAAAACTATTCAGATAACAAACAGAGCTAACCTGTAGTACATCATCTGGTATCCTTGTTATTTCTGGAGGTGGAGGAGTGCTGAGTAAATGGTCGTACTGTTTTATTTTGGGAGGAGATGGGTTCCCCAAATGTTTGAGGTACTCATCAGAGCTCACAGCAGAAGGAATGCCGTCTTCTATGTTTTGTTTCTCTGTTGCATTGTTTTTGGTCACCAACATGATCTTCTCCTCTTGCATTTCCTGTTACAGAGAAGCTATTATATGCCTTCAGTTCATTTATTTTTCTTAGGTGAAGTATTTAACAACATAGAATCATAGAATCACCAAGGTTGGAAAAGACCTAAAAGATCACCCAGTCCAACCGTTCACCTATTCCCAATAGCTCCTACTAAACCATGTCCCTCAACACAACATCCAGTCTTTCCTTGAACACCCCCAGGCTCGGTGATTCCACCACCTCCCTGGGCAGTCCATTCCAGTGCCTGACCACCCTTTCTGAAAATTAATACTTCCTCATGTCCAGCCTGAATCTCCCCTGCCGTAGCTTGAAGCCATTCCCTCTGGTCCTATCACTAATGGCACGAGAGAAGAGGCCGACCCCCAGCTCACTGCAACCTCCCTTCAGGAAGTTATAGAGAGCAATGAGGTCTCCCCTGAGCCTCCTCTTCTCCAGGCTGAACATTCCCAGCTCCTTCAGCCTCTCCTCATATGGCCTGTGTTCCAGACCCCTCACCAGCTTTGTTGCCCTCCTTTGAACACGTTCCAGGGCCTCAATATCTTTCTTGCAGTGAGAGACATGTTCTTACAAAATTACCAATTAAAAAGCACCGTTTACAAGGACAAGAAAAACGGGTATAGGAAAAGGAGAGCAAACTGCCATTTGAGGAACTGCTTACAGCACTAGTGTATGAAAGTAGATGTAACTGCTGTGTAGTACCATAAGTTCTCTTGTCATCCACCTGGCTTCAAAATCCGGAGGTGGCGGCGTTGCTGCATGGCTGGGAAGAGGCACTTTGTCTCTTTCTGGTGACTTGGCTAACGCTGCACTGTCTGCTCGGGGAGGGATTTTCACACCAGGTGTGCAGAACACGGGTATCATAGGAGAAGCCATACAGTCTGCTGCTGGAATTAGTGAAAAAAAAATCAATAAATCCATCAGTGAACGTACACACATACTTTTAGCTGCAGTGCTCCAGTTTAGTTTTCCAAATCAATTAGCTTGTTACAGATTTATTTATATATTCCACAACACCTGGACCATTTTAGTTCAACTGTACCATTTTAGTTGACAAAACTTTTAGTATGAAAATGTACCCAAATTGCAGAGCTCTAACAGCAGTAAATAAAGAAAACAAAACTAATCCAAATAATCTTGTCTCGTTACCAAATATAACTGAAAGAGCCCAACTTAAGCCAATACTGCTTCAGATTTCCATATATTCTGTTTGTTTGCTGCAAGACTTTCAGACGCTTACCAAAGAATATATTAGATCTCCAGAGAAATTTCAGTGCTACTCTTGAAAGATGTAAGTTACAGTTTGGTTAATCCGTTTCAAAGCAGTTTCTTTCCCACTCATTTAACTGGCTTTAAATGGCGTAAGAGATAATTCTTGGGAAAAAGTTTGCTTCCCCTAACAGTACTGTTATCAGTAGCACGGATACATTGCAATTCCGATACGACGGAAGCTCTGCACAGTTCTAGATGGATATGAGTAGAAGAACAAGCAATGATTTCTACTGAAGCACGCAGATTCCCCATAGAAGCCACTGACTTGAGTTTTCTGAACACCAGTATGCAAACAATGACTGGACACAAATTAATTATATTTAACAAGAAACAGATTAAAGTATTACCATGTGTTAACACATGCTATGTTAAAAAATAGCAAACCTACATTTACTTGACACGTTTTTAACTTACCGCTCTCATCTGCTGCTTTTGTTTTTGGCTCAGGAGTAACTGCCATTTCCCTGGGTGGCTTTTTTGCTACATTCACTTCATCGTCGCCTTTTTTAACTAAGCTGAAAAGCCAAAAACCTCAATCAGCTCTCAAGTAACATGAAGAAATCACTACTGAAGGAATACTGTCAACTCCACCACTTGTCTAGCATTTGTTCATGAGTCTAGAATGATTTACTATCTCTGACTCTACTCCTACCATGCAAAGGTTCAGTCCAGCCAAGGCATTACAAAATAAGGAACACACTGCCTGGAGATGCTGTGAATCCCCCTCCCAGAAGGCATTCCAAGGCCAGGCTGGATGGGGCTGTGAGCAATTTAGTCTACAGGGAGGCATCCTTACCTACACTGGGGGGTTGGAACCAGATGATCTTAAAAGCCCCTTCCAAGCCAACCATTCTATGGTTCAATGATCTACAACTCCTCAGTAAAAAGCCTAAGCCTCAAGAAATCCATGTGAGGCAGCGTATTTCCATGAGATCAAACCTCCTGTTGTGAGTCTGCTTTCTTAAAAACAAGGAAACAAAAAAACCAACCAAACAAAAAACCACCACAAAAACTAAGGGAAAATAAGGAAAAAAAAACCCTGTACTTTTTCAAGTCAGTTCTTCCTCAGTAATATTATTGATACTTGAACCCTACGTGTTTGGGTTATGGTTATACTTTCTCTTCTTCATTATAAACACTTTTGTTTATTGTTTTTTTTTCCTTTCTTTCTCCCTATTACTTTTGCTTTCAGTTCTTCACTGCATGCACACAAAATACATTGTTCCTTCTACTTGCTTCAGAACTGAAAACCTGAAAAGAAAGGAACTGAGAACACTATGAGTGTATGTATGAGTGTGTACACACACACACACACACACACACACACACACACACAGTGTATACACACAGAAAGCAAGGTTAATTTTTATAAAATGTTATATAAAACTACAAATAAAATTTGTGGATGTATTCATTTAGAAATTGTAGCCAGAATTAAAACTGAAATCACATTTAAGACAGTTCTCACTAAACAACAACAACAAAAAAACAACAAAAAATACAATCAAAAAACCAACCCAATGAAATGTAAGTTAAAGACAACAAAAGAGCTTAACTTGTGCAATAAGCTGAAGCTTTTAACAAAATGTTATTTGAGGAACCAACTTTAAGTTTGCATCAGTTAGGATTCAGTAACAGCTTTCCAATTATTACAATTCCAATACTGTATGCTACAGCTGTGTAAATGCTACCATGCCTATTTGGCAGAAGAGAACCCAAAACTCTTTTAAGAGAAAATGAATCTCTTCAATTTTACTTTTCTCCCCAGTAATCTAAAAAAGAAAAAAACAAAAAAACAAAAAAACACCAAACCACTGAAATGTAACCATTGTGGTACATTGGAACAAAGTCACTGAAGCTGGTACAGCTCTGAAGAACTTCACATGAGCACCTGTATAGCAAATATCAGGGATTTAAACAATAGAATTAGTGAAATCTCCCTACAAACCAAATCCTTAACTGCTGAACAGAATATTTCTCTTAAATACTGTCATTTTCTTAAATTGGATGCCTGGCTAATACAAATCATACAAACATCTTTTAACCACCCTTTTCCAGGAGTAGAAGTCTAGAAATGTGTTTTCAGTCGAAGGCTGGAGCAAAAAGAAGCATCTGCTTGAAGCTGGATAACAGAAGAAATAACACAACCAGCTCCCACTGTGAGGCATTTAAGCAAGTGCTTCACAAGTTTCTTTCAGTACCACTTCCAATGCTTTTATATTGGTAACACAAAGTCTAGCGCATGTCCTCAAATGCAAGCCCTAGTTAAATAAAGCAAAACCTCACAGGAGATACTGTGCCTTTTCTCCTTGTCCTGGAGACATTCTCATGCAGGCAGGGAAGGAAATACCTTAGATAAGTCTCCTGTAAGTAGTTTGCATTGCAAAGGGTACACAAAAAGAGGAGCAGAGAGTTCAAGGTAGACAGAAAACTGACAAACAAGTAGGTAACAAATCACCTGTTAGCAGAAAAAAAAAAAAAAATAGGCAATGGCAACAAGAGAGGGGTACATCAAGAAGAAACAATGGAAAACCAATAGAGAAACATCAGAGCTTCAAGTGCTTACTTACTTGTTTGACTGGGCAGTTTTATGAATAAGTGCCATGGTGTAATCTTCATTCATACACATGGTGTGTTCACTAATGCCAAAGTGTTCCAGTTTCGGTGTAACGCACTCAAAGTCGTCCATCTTTAGCATGCATTTGGGTGTTTTGGGCAGAACACAGGCGGCCTGCGTTTTCTGGGGAGTTGTGTGCTTTGCATTTTCTTGACTGGCGTTTGCTGCACGTTGTTGTCCATGTAATGCACTCCAGGGCCTGGAGAAAGCATACTGTGATAGGCCGAAATCAGAAAGCTGGGGGCTCCGCAGCGGGTCTCCGGGCACAGGAGGGTTCTCAGCACAGGCAGGAAGAGGAGGTGCATCATCTGCTTCTTCCTGATCAGATTTACTCTGGTCAGATGCCTTCGAATCACCATTCGCCTCCTCTTGTTGCTCCTCTGACAAAAGAGAGGAGAGTTCATTCGGTCAGATGTTTATCTTTTAAGAATTTTTAAAATAAATTGGGAATTTTCTCCTCCCCCCTCCAAGTAGTCTTTTTTTTTTTTTTAAATATTTATTACTCTAAATATTAATGTTACTTCTTTCATTTTAAAGCACTGAACCTTAATCTACAACTATCAAAAGCTCTTATCAGGCTAAGCTGTATTTAGAACGCATTTCTTACACTTAACACATTTTTAATAGAATTCAACCTCCCTGCATAGCCTAGGCAGAAAGTTTTAATCTTAAACACATTTATCTGGCTCCATCTCACTGCAAGAGTAAAAAAAGTGGCGGAACAAACTGTACAGAAAGAAGCAGTGACTGAAAAGTCATAAAAGATAACATGAGTTCACTACAGAAATAAGCCATGGTGTAATTTGTATGATTCTGTATTACGTGAATGGAAACAGTGGGGGGGTGGTGGTGTGGTTAGATTGGGTAATCTTGGAGGTCTTTTCAACCTTAGTGATTTTGTGATTTGTGGAACACCCCCAAATATTTGTGAGCTGCTGCATGATATAAGCAGCAGATGATTTAAGCTTACGGGATAACAACACATGAATATGAACCAGTTCAGGTGCATCTGCAGTAGCTCATCGTTCAGGAGAAGCTGAAGCAGCCCAACTGTCTGGGTTATCAGAACGCATGGCTGACCTCTCCTCTTTGTACAGCTCTTAGTGAAGAGAAAAACACACCAACCAGGAGCATGTCAGGAGATGCAGCTCTAAGTTTTTACATGTTTTATTCTTAGAGCAGCGATCACAACAGAACCTTTCAGTCCCAGATTATTACAGAGCAAAAACCACAGATCTCTTCATTAACAGACACGTACACATAGCAGAAGAGAAACATTTTAGAAAAATTACATGCCTTTAAATGCTCCACTGCCAACAAATATTACCTGTAGGGACTTCGACGGGTGGTTTGTAGCCGTATTTCTGGAATAGCTCTCTTATTTTTGCAAGATCCGCTGCATTTCTTTGCATCAATATCTCACTTGCCTTCATAAAGTCATTAATTTCTTGCCTTTCAGAGGAACTCTTGCCAAGAGCAGCATTAGCATCTTCCTTTGGGTGAAGGAGGGGAAGGAGAAACTAAGCAATGGGTTTTCAAATCACCACCTGGTGTCTGTTTCTACATTCAGTGTTTGGGGAATAACTTCAATTCATATGGGGACAAGCAAATGTAGATCCTGTCTATACCTGAAAACTTGGTTACAAAACACTGGGAACACAGAGCAGAATTGCACACAAACTTACAAATATTATGAGGACAGTTCACAGCGAGGTAACTGCTTCCTGCTGACCTCCCAGACAAAACCATGTGCTTTTACTCCATTAAAAAAGAGGGCATTTACATAACAATTAGTTTGGACTTTTAAATACAAAGAATGTATGTCAGAGCAGCTGGTGAAATTCCAGTTTACAGCGTGGTTTACTCCTCACTTACTTGCACACGTGCCCATTTCTATTGACTATTTTGTCTACTTCTGTTAAAGAAACGAAGAACTTTTTTCACAAGTTTAACAGAAGTGCAGGATCCCCTGCAAGGGCGTTCTTTATGCTAAGTGCTTCTCACTGAGCAAAGCTGGGCATACCTCTCCTGAATCCGGCTCCCCCACCCCCGTGCCCCGGTGTAACCACAACTTCCCCATGACCTGCATCCCTGCTGGCCCGAGTGACAACACTGATGGCAAGCACATCATCAGCACTGGCATCCCACAGTTTTGGGTGCTGCCTTGTAGCCACAGCGAGGACTTAGAGGTAAGTAAATAGAAAGGTCAGAACTGCTGAATAACAAGGCTGCGTTGTGGCTTAAGGATCAAAGCACAACCACCAGTTTATGGACGCGGCCTCTGCCCCAGTTTTTCAAGAAGTTAAGGCATTACCTTCAGAGCCCTGATTTCGCAGTGTAGGTCGTGCAAAACCCTCATCGGAGATTCCTCTTCATAGTCTTTGATGTGCATATCACATGAAAGTGTTTTGAAATTAAAATAAAGTGGGGAATTAGTATTTAGCATGCAGGTACAACGTAATGTAATGTAATCTCCACTAGCAGACCTTGGTGCTGTCCACTCATAAATGCAGCAGTCAACTGACTTTGTTCTTTCACTGCATATCAAGGCTAACGCCAATAAATAGTGTAAAAGAGGAGCCCTGCATCATGACAAGCCATAGCACAGCGATACATTCAACTAGAGTCTTCAGCTGTATGTGCAGAGAGAGAAAAAGCCCTGAACGTGTGTTTCCCTGTACTGATCCATGACAAGGTTAAAAACAAGAATGTGATTCAGTACTGAAAAGGAGCTTACCGACAGGAGGGAGACCGACTTCTTTCACACAGTCAGATACTGGCAGAACGGGGGGGGGGAACAGCTTTAGGATTTAGGTTAGACAGCAGGAGGATAATTCTTTCCTCAGAGGGCGGTGAGGCACAGCTGCACAGAGAGCTGCGGGTGCCCCATCCCTGGAGCTGCTGGAGGCCGGGCTAGATTTACTTACAGACGTTACGTGGTAAAAGTTCACTGCACACCACGGAGGCCTCGGAGAGGCGGCGCGGAGTTGTGCTCACATAAGACCCATTATACCCCTCCAGCACAGGCGCACCCCGTCCCGGCAGCTCACGGCGCAGCGGCAGCGGGAACCCGAGGCGGTGCTGTCAGCGCGGGCCGCCCCGCAGCGCCCAGCTCGCCTCGCCAGACCTGCGCGGCCTTTGGGCTCGGGGCGCCGCCGCTGTGGGGGCGCGCGGGAGGCGGTGCCCGCACTTACCCGCGTCCTCCCCGCGCAGCGCCCGCTCCAGCTGCTTCGCCTCCCTCTCTAGAGTGAGGGCCAGGGAGCGCAGTTTGCCGAAGAAGCCCCTCGACACATCCATCGCCCACGGAGCAGAGGGACGCGGGTCCGCAAGGACCGCACGGCAACGGTCGCGACAAGCAGCTCTCCGCGCGACCCTGGAGCCCGCCGCCGCTTTCGAAACGGCGCCTACTCACGCCCCGTTGGCGCCGCGAGCTCTCGCGAGAAGTGCCGCAAGCAACTCTCGCGAGGAGCGCCGCCGCCATCTTGCTGCCCGCCGCGGGGCTGGGGCCGGGAGCGGGGGGGCCGGGAGCGAGGGGTCCGATACGGTGGCCTCCAAGGCCTCCTCGCCCTGATCCTCGTTAGAGCCGAGGCTCGCCTGGAACTGGTGGGTGATGGAGACCCTCGGGCGGTGGTGCCGCGGGGCAGCCGGTCTGCACGGCGCCCGGAGACGCGAGTGGGTCCCGGGTCGTTGGGGCAGCTCCGTCCCGGTGCTGGCCGTGCCCGTGGCTGTGCGCGGCGGGTGGCTGCCGCCGTGCGGCTGAGCTGAAAGCTTTCTAATAGCGAGACAAAAGGCACTGCAATAAATACAGGCGAATTTTTCTCGTTTTTTTTTTTTCTTTTCCCTAAATAACGTGTCTTTGTGTGTGCGTTTCTCTTTTAAGGCGCAATGTTTTTAACAGTGGCCCTACTCGGGAAGAGGATCCCTGGAAAGCAGTGGATTGGAAAATACAGGCGGCCGAGAACAGTAACCATTGCCATGAAGCAGGCCATGATCCGAAGGCTGGAAATTGAAGCAGAGAACGAATACTGGCTGAGCCGCCCGTACCTGACACGGCAGGAGGAGTACAATCACAACAAGGATGTGAGAGTGGCCAGATGGGAGGCTTTTAAAGCCATGAAGTCGTCCAAGTTCCCTGAGCATAGATATATGAGCGACCACTTGAACCACTTAAATGTCTCAAAGAAGTGGACCTCTTGAGCGGCGGCACGGCTGTACTTGTGCTGCTGGGAGATGCAGTATTGTACCCCTTGTGGCTGCTCTGTAATGCAGTGTAACAAAGGCAGGTGAGAAATCAGACAGCTACGGTGTACAAAATCTTACATTAAAGTAATCCTACAGAACAGTGTTTGGGTTTTTTTTGCCACATTAGAAGACTGTCCTTCCAGTAGCTTAAGGGTTTTGCATAAGACAGTGTGAGTTGCAGCTCCGGTGATGACTTGAACTAGGTTTGTAGCTTCACTTTTTTGGAAAGCTGGAATGCAGTGGCTGTATTGAAAAAGGATTATCTGTACAGACCAGATGGCTTTTACTTGTCCCTTTGCTCTAAAAGGGGCTACTTCTATATTTGTATATTAATACTTGAAATACAGCAGAAGCTACTTGATGTTCTACTCACTCCATCAGGCACGTATCAAGAATAGAACTGTGTCTGTAAGAGACTGCAACTAATATAAAACTTTCAACTTCCTGGGAACAGGAGCATCAATTTCTGTGTCCCTGCCCCACTTACACAGAACTTAGTTCTGACTGAGAAGGACTACTACTGATTCTTGTTTGAGTGGCAGCTTGATGTCTAAGTAATGCTTAGTTTGTGGCTGATGATGTTTCTCCAGGACAATAAGTTTTTTATTTCTCCTATTGAGACCAAGTGAGCCGGAACCATGCCAGGAATGAGTACCATGTTGGGTCAGTGCAGGTCAGGTGTGAGAACTGTTTCCAGCACCAGACAGAACCTTTCCCAGGTATGCAGCAGTTCTTGCTGCTCTAATGCACGCATGCTACAGCTAAGCAATTATCAGATTATTTCACATACTTTATTAAGTAAGTCGGTATTGCATTCATCGACAGAAGTTGTGTGTCAAATACATTGATATTTTATCACTTTTGAAAAGAGGCCTGGAATAATACAACTTGTTTAAACATAAATTCTATGATCAGGTCTGAACACTGATGTACAAAATCTTGAGTGCACTTAAAATGATCTTATAATCTTGAATGCTTGTAAATGACTTGAGATAACGTGGAAAAGTATACATACGAGCAAACTGCAGTGTAATTCAAACATGAAGGAACTCTGATGCAACGTAATGTGACTTTGTATTTAATTCATTTATAAAAGCTCATTTTAAAAAAGTCACTCAAAGTATTAAACTATAAATGGCAACGTGTGTTCTCTGCATAGGACTAGTCCTATCTGCAGCATACACAAAAATAGTAAGTGTGTCATTACACATCTTTTACATTTAATGCCAAAATTAAATACAGGTCAGTGTAAGTTTAGGCAGCAAATTAAAAATAATGGTGTAAGTGGAACAGTGAGTACCGTTATTGTGACTGCTGATGACCCTTTCTGGCAAATACAGAACTGGAAAGAACCCAGGCATGTTTAATTCTGTTAAGGATAAAAGGGGTGAGGGAACAGAGAGGGAGCCTGAACACTTCAACAGCAGGACTACTGCTGCTTTCCGTGATGTTTTTGTGAGTGCACAAAAGAAAGATTTAAGACGCTCACAGTAAAGCTGAAAGGAACAGGTTAAAAGATGAGAAATTGGAGAGGTACGTGCTGAGCATTTAAGTTGTCAGCTAAGTAATATAAACAGAAGAGCATCTGCATGTCACCCTTAGGGCACAGGTGCCAACAGGAGCGGATACTTCACCCCCAGCACGTGCTTCTCTCTACGCAGGTGCTCTGTGCTTCTTGGGGCTGGGGGCAGGGAAGACTTCAAAACCAATTCAAACAATTCTGTAAACAAAAATCAGATTTCACAACCTCATGGAAACAAGATTCAAGTAATTGCTGCAAACAAACCAACCCAAGAAGTGGTGAAAGACCAGTTTTAATCAGAATCAGCACTAAGTACAACTTTATTTCATTCCATTTCATGAGTTATGTAATTAAGAAAAATACATATACAAAGCTGTCTATATATACAAAATAAATTGATAGAAATGAATATAGTGTATGTGCCCAGTATTGTAACAAGTAACTGTATATGCAGCTGCTCTCTTTGGTGCCATTTAGAGATAGAAGATCCTCTTACATTAGATACCAGCTTTTTTTTTCTTTTTTTTTTTTTTTAAAGTAATATGAAAAACGTGACCTTGATTTGCACTCAATGCTAGAATAGCTATTTGGAGACTCTTCATACCTGAAGCCTTCAATTCTGTATTATTTTAGCCACTCTCCCTACAGAACATAAACTACGAAGCTCAAAATATTTTTTTTTAAATTCTAAATGAATTTCTTCAATCAGTGCTCCAGATCTAGGCAGATCTTTCCCATTTTTATCAAGGGTTGATGCATCTCTTGGTACGAGTGCCAGACACTAATCCTGCTAGTTCCTTTTCCTCCTCTTGGGGCTGTGGTGAGCTGCAACTGGTCAAACTTCAAACTACAATGAATGAAGAACTGTGAGTGAATATCGAATGGCACCAAACTTAATGAAAACTTCCCAAACCCCAAGAGATTATTTACAAGAAAGAAAAGCAAGATCAAATGAGGGAATTAACAGTACCTGAGAAACGGCGCACTGAACACTCTGGATGCCCAGTTTCTAGCTGCTATGCCAAAAGCAGCTCGGTACCCGTACGTTCCATGTTCAAAGCGTAGGTTTAATAAAGATGTTCCTGTGATTTCTCTACTCTGATGAGTAAAAGTGCCAGAGCTTCCTTGGATATGAAGCCCTGAATATTTGAAGTGGAGGTTTTCAATCAAGGGGTTAAGATGCATCCAACTTGTCAGTTATTCCAGAAACCTACCACAATCCTGCCCTCTGCCAATAATACACGTTTGGTAAGAACAGCACTTATGTGCACCTTCACAGTTTGTAAACAAGCCAATACTCAGGAAAAAAAAATTTTTTTTGAGGCTTCTATAATAGTTTAAAGTTTTCCTTTCTACTTATGCATCTGTCTTCTTCATCTTTACGGGGAGAGATCTATCAACTCATGACATTTCTAAATCTTCAAGGAGAAAACACTGTAATCTCATCCTGCATCACACTTCTGTCCTCACACTGGGAGTTTAAGTCATTTTGTGCTTGTGATCGTTGTATGGATTTTTTTATAGAAGAAAATCAAGCTTTCGGAAATACCAAAGCATAGCTTCTGATTGCATCCAGTGTCAACTATACTACAGTCACTACAATGCTACTCATGGCTAGCAGTTATTTTGAGGGATTTAAAAGCTTAAGCCCTGTTATTTTTAGTGACAAACGTAAGTATTTGCGAGACTTGCTGACACACAGCAGCTTAAAGCACAGAAACAGCATGTACCTCCTGACCCGGCACTGTCTGTCTTCCCTTCTTGCCTCCTGACCACGCAGGTCAGCTCCTCTCACTGGCAGCGTGCAGCGACTCAGTGCGTGGATGTGGGCAGAAAGGACATCCTAGCGTGCTCCTACAGAGCCCTGCCAGCAGTAGTCTGCTTGCAGCTTTAGTCAAGCAGCTTTTCATCCTCATTGGGGTTGCATTTAGGCAAAAAGAGGGAGCAAGCCAGAAACTATCCCACTCTGCTTTGATACAGCACAGGATGCCCTTGCTTACGGCTATGGAGCTGTCAGATGAGAACTCTCAAAAGAACCAAAACGCACGGCACCTTACCAGACAACACACACGGATTCAGCCCAGTCTGTTTACTTACATTTTTTTCCCTGTAGATTAACTATCCTGACTTAAGCAATCAAATATTATAGTGATATTAGCTTATAGTACACACCATTCACATAGGTGTAAACATGTATTTGTTACCTCTGCTGTGATACAATGATCCAGTAAAAGAAAGATGATATCCAGGGTCTTCCATTACAATTCTACTGGCGCTCTGGACTGCGCATTTTGGTACTTAGAATGAGAATACTGAGCTCAGGCTTGCGTCTCCATCCTCTTCCCCAAGAAATTTTGCTGATGCATTCTCTCCTTCTGAGATCAACATGTCAGTATTCCTGAAAACTTATATTTAGATGAGTGCTTTTCACTTGACATTTGAGAAGAAAAAGCGAAACCTTTCAGATTAATGCACAGCAAATGTTTTTTCTTAGAAAACTGGCAAATGCAATATTTATCATACAAAGTTGGAAGAACATTTTGCAATTTCTACAAAACATGCAGGTTTGTACCTTCAGTTCTGTCTCAGCAGTATCTGACAGTGACCATAATATGCTCATAGGTCACTGAAGTGCTCCTGTTCTAGAAGACTGGAAAAAATACTTTTTCCTAAATGTCAAAGACAAAGAAAATATTTGTTTTAAACCTTGGAGTATACTTGATATCCAAGTAACTCCAATACAATGATGGGGAAAAGTAGTGATCAATCCGGCAAAGAAAGCGAACGAGTTCCTTTCGTTCAGATCAACATAGCTACCACCTTCATTTTCTGTCAAAGAGGTTTATGACTTTGTAATCAGCATCAGCTGAACATCAGAAAAGCTTCAGACCACAGAACAGTATTTTTCACTTCTGTCATGTGCAAAATGCCAGGAACATCAAAAGCTGAATTAACGGTATTCTCTATAGAGGAGTAGGGGGAAAAGAAAAACCATGTTTGCTGTAGGTCTTGAGCTTAGTTGGACTTTATTCCTCAACACAGGAAACATGTTTTGCCTTTTGTGAACATGGTACATCACTGAACAAAGCACTCATCTTTAGCAGTTCAGCATCACTTAAAATCGACTTGAAAGTGGCAGACGAAGCAGACAGCATACAGAGTTTTGGTGTGTTAACACAAGTGCATGATCCAACACTAACTTTCTCATAAGTACTTGAAATTTGTTTAAATGGTACTTCAGAACCAATAAAAACTTGTGTTTTTATTAAAAAGATAAAACAAAAGTATAAAACAGTATTTATAAACCATCATGAGTCCCATATAAAAAGCAGTACGCTTCCAGTTCCATTTTCTAACGACACGTGACTGCACTAAGATTTTTCTCAGGGGTACATTGCCATTTTGTTACTGCCTCATACAGAACACTGCAAACATTAACTGAAAATGTAACAGTTTGTTAATTCCTTTTTCAATCAGATTTTCTTTTTATGCTGATAGGAAATTGTTGAAAAGCAGTAAACCATGTTTTTATCAACTAAAAGAGAGCTCACTTCTTTGAGCTATGTTCTTGATATA